GGGGGGGGGGGGGGGGGGGGGAATGTGCGGCACAGTAGAGATTCGTGGTGCAGGGAGAAATACGAAAGGATGGAATGAGAGAGAAGGCGCTAAGAAAACGGGCGAGAAGTCTGAAGAGAGTCGGGAGAACCGAAGAGAGGAATCTTCGGAGCCCCGTAAAAACCGCAGATCGCCGCGATCCTCCTGCTACTTTGTATTCGGCCTGCGAACGAGCCAAAGTCAAAGTCTGGCCGAGTCTGAATTGTCGCGGCTCGTTAAGGGTCCGTTTCGCGGCTCCTTTCGGGCCTAAGGGTCCTCGGCGCTTGAGTCAACCACCGAAGGATGCCCTTGGCTGTGACCCACTATCCAAATTCTTCATCTCCCCGCATGTAATCGAGATCCACAGAAATGCGACTTTGTGAATAACTTTCCCAAGACGAGGCGGCGTCGGGTTTGTCACTTTTCGAGCTCCGCGTCTTCAACTTCTTGCACTTGAGGGAAGAATTACTTTGCGCTAATGCTCCGTCGCGACATACATATTTATATAGCACGGTACACACTGCTCTCTCGTCTTTTCATCTTTCTTTCTCTTTCTGCACTTTCTCCCGATAATTCTCCCAATCGACCTTCTGACCTCTGTATAACTCACCTATACTTCCCTCGATTTCGTTGACTTACTAGAACTTTTTTTCACACCTTTTCCTACACTCTTTAGATATTCCCTTATTATCCATAAAAACGCCATTCGTCGATAAGCCAAACGATACTTGGATTCGCGCAGAAATTATTTTGCACAGTTTCCAAAAGTTTTTAATAATCGAAAGAAAACGGGTCGATATAAAGTTTATCGAATACATATTTAGTCTCGTTGAAGACGATGGCAGTAAGCACGATTGCCACTCCACAAAACACTGAAAGACATCGTTACATCAATAGTCATCGGTATCGGCTTTCGTATACCTATATATATAGTTATGTATACAGACATAGTGGAAAGTCGGTGAATTTCGTTGTGGCATAAAAGAAATTGAAATTGGGATGAAAGTACTTGAGCGGATACGAGTGTACGAGTGCCGAGAATACACCCAGATACGAAGGACTCACACGCGTTACTCCTCTATCGAGCATCCGCACACGTGCTCGTCGGCAGCAGGTTAGAGACGTGTGTTTTCTCATATCTTCTCGCTGCAGCTCCGTCCCGTTTTCATATATTCTTTTATTGGTTCCGAGTCATCGCGATCTTCCTATTTGCCGCAAGGTTGATCGCGAAGGGCCGGCAAATGTTGCGAATAGATGCGCCAAGGAAATAACCTAGGTGGTTTAGATCCGTGGTGAAGCTTCCTAGGGCAACATTCATTCCCCGTGTCGTTTGCTCTTGGTAAGTTACCATCAACGGGACAGGGAAAATTCATGAAATTGGAAATGCCAGAACCTCTGTCCTACTTTGGCTCATAACGAAATGAAATTGTTATTTCTTTTTCTTTTCTTCTTTTTTTTTATCGTTTTCGCATATGTCGTCAAAGTGTTACTTGATTATTTCTCAATCGTGTCCGTGTTACCCGAGGCGGCGACGGAGGAAAGCTCTTTAGGAACACGATATCCTTGCCGTTCCTCGTTATAGCTTCGCTGCACCTTTTTTCAGTCGGATTTGGAAAATGCCTTCCTTTTACAGAGGGATTCTTTCCAGTAACAAGCAGACCCCCTTGGGGTATAGGGTGTAAGGAAATGAGGCGATCCGCAGAGCATAGCTCACTGGGAAGCTCAGCTCGATCAATGTCTCCATTAGGGCTGGTCCTTTGTGTATGGCACGTCACAAGTTACACGTCACAAATGACCTAATCTCTCGGTGGGAAATGTCCCGCGACTAAACTCGTCCATGCGTACCACGTGCTTGATAGACCACGTGGCCCGTAAGAGGCGTCGCCACGTGACGTATGGGCATGTCAAAAATCTTATGGACTCGATCGACGATCAAGCCTCCAGGATCGCGGATTAGTTTGCGTAGATCTTACAAGTATTTCGGGGAAAAATGATGGTTTCTTGATTAAGTAACGGCAAGAAGTTTCTTACCCGAGGTAAGAAATCTGACGTGAACGGGGAATCGTATCGAGCAAAAATACGTGATTTTGGTAAAAGTGACAAAACAGAACCGTTAGCAGTTTTACGATAACGATATCGATATCGGCAAAGATTTTCAATGCTTTGGGAAAATTGGCAAAGGATCTAGCAGCATCACACCTACCCAGTTCTTCGAGTCCCTTAGGATTTGATCGGCATGAGTTCTGGGATCGCTGGAGCGACTAAGTTTCCGGAAACGTTCCGCAGACAAACGAAAGGCTTGTAAACGGAGTGAAAGGGCAGGACGGATCGTCCATTTATTTCTGGGAAGCATGAACAAAGATCAGGCTCGGTGTTCGTCCTCTCGTCACCCTATTTCTTTTACTTTTTCTTCCTTTCCCTCGAAACTTTGGCTCTTCCCAAACGCATTAGGATCCGTCTAAGGGATGTCCGTTGTCACGATTTTCTGGAACGACCTGTACACATGTACGTGTCCCGGGATGAGATTCAAAGTCCACAGCGACGCAAGTGTTTAGGGTTGATGGGTCTTCCGTAGTTCTGTAGGGCTGGTATGGCAACGGCTGCCCTAGAAGCGGCCCCCTACTGTAGTCGGGTATAAGGAGTGGCGAAGGGATCGAGAAATACAAGGGCTGCTCCGTGTCAGCGAAATAGACTCGGCGAATTAAGCAGGACAAATAGGGAAAGCAGGGAAAGTCGGGTGTCTCGAGGTAGTAAAGTTCCTTCGGCGAATTTTACTTTGGAATCACAAGTGGAGGACGGAATCCGCATCAGTACCAGGAGGGTAGATTAAAAGCAGCCTTATTTTTCCCTACAGAGAAATAGAAGTGGCATTAATTCCAGACGTATACGTATCGCTCGTAGCTCGACGCTGATCGACGCGAGGCGTCTTCGTGGGGCGTACTTGGTGTCTCCTCGTAAATTCCAGGGAATTCTGTCCCCCTCGTAAATTCCAACCGGTCGGCGTCCCATCCCACCGATGGGAATGACTAACAATAAGACGAGGTCGACTCGTCCTTGAGAGTTCGAAATATAGCTATACGCGTAAATGCCCATGCATACCATATATTATAATGTCGACGTAGTATAAGTCATACATATAGCGTCCATTACATTCCATGTGGTATGGTATTTTTCGATTATCACTCGTTAATTGTCTCTATTGGTCGGCATCTTGAGAGGGATGAAATTTCATCGAACACTGGCTCGAATACTTCCATTAATCCAAATGAGCATCGATCCTCGGGATAATTCAGCCCCTCGCTCCATCCTCTTCCCACCCTGAAGGAGCTTCTCGGGGAATTTACATCGAGCGAGCTACATAGCCTCGTTATACAAAAGAGGAGAGGGTAGCGCGAATATAGCAGCGTGCACACTATAAGACTTCGGGATGCCGTACATAAATACATGGATCCTGAGAGAGCAAAAACTCCGGCATAAGGTGGAAACGTGGTTGGTAGCGTTAAAGGGATGTCTGAGGTAAGCGCTACGCTTTACGATCCAGGCGCTACGAACGCCCTCCTGCATATCTCTTTGAGTTCCGCTTAAACTTATTTCCCGGGCCGCGTGTACACGGTACACGTACATACGTAGCAGCATCAGCCGAGTTCGCAGGTACCGAGCCGCCTCGATAGAAACCCTATTTATACAGGGGGTGCGGAAACTCGGCGTGGATTTTTCCTTTAATACCACCTAAGACCAGGTGGCCTAGTCCTGAGGAAGGAAAAGACAAAAGTGAATGTAAAGAGGGTGGCCGCCCTTCTGCGAGCGACCCTCTCGAACGTAGGCGGAGCAACAGGAGACGCTGCTGGGCTATCCTGAGCCTCGAGATCCTGAATAGGGGGTGGCGGTCCTGGTGCTTTTACCGACGCAGGACTGCGGCGCTCAACTATTTATGTAAAGTTCCCTATAAATATGTATGCCCAAAAAAGAAGGCGAATTATAACGAGGCGAAGCACCGGCACTGATTTTCCAGCTAGAATTCGAGGGTTACTTTGCGTTAAGACCTACACTCGCCCAGGTCAAAGGTCGCGTAGCTGTATTTGTGGACGCGGGGGCACCCTGCTAAGGGTGATCTCGGTTAGTCCTTTTGCGACAGTAGCAGTGCGAATAGGGACTCGAAGGTCAAATGGCCGCCTTTGTGGATGCTGAAGCATCTGGAGGTGGCACGATTACCTCCGAGCGATAATACGCTCATTAGCATAATCGGGCAATCCGTTTTACTCAACTTTTAACGAGACGAGCTCCAATTTTGGCCCAGCTTGCCATTTTTCAGTGCGGCCTCGGCAGCCTAGCTAACCCTCCGCAATCCTGGAGACCCTAACTACGCCAGGGATCAAAAAGAGAAGCAGCACTAATAAAACTGACAAATTCCCAGTCGCCGTTCGGATAAAGACGCTTCGTCTACGCTTATCGGCACATTTTTTAGCCTTTTTCACTCTCTTCGTTCTTATCGTTATTCCCTCCCTCCCTACACGGTACCTTACATGTTTCACAACTTCCACCCTTTCATCGTAATAAATCCTCTTAACATTATATTACGCCTTGGCACCGGAAGCCTCCTACGGCATTTCTCCTATAACTTTATTTAACGATGATCAGCGAGGTAAATTACATTGATGTTGTTCTAACCACTAGCCTCTTCGAGCGACGTAATAACATGTCTGGATGTCTGGATGTCTGGATGTCTGGACGTCCGGACGTCTGGAACCCAACTGCACTTCGGTCTAGGAGCTTGCATCGGGTAGGAGCTCTGGGTTACTAATGGTACACAGTGCCATTCAGTGCCATTCCAGGAGGGCTGTCTCGTAACTAGTAACTGTGAGAGTCCTTTCGCGTGTCACGTGACAAGGAAGAGAAAATGGCTGCCAGGATGGAACATCGCAACACCGCGCAGACTTCTCGTGAGAAAGTTCTATTTGCTGCGGCATGAAGCAATCGCTTACATGTTTCATTCGAGTGGAAAATAAAAGAGTTGGCGCGTAGCGTTAAGAATATTAATGAACCACCCTTGTCGGATGTCGACGCAACCATTTGCTTCTGCGATTCTCTATACCCGCAGTCAAAGCGACGATAATAATTTTCGTGCCGGTTTCATTGAAAATTTCAAATTTTTCCATTTTTTCGTAATATCGACGACACCGCACCACCCTTCGCATCGGTATCAATAGGAACCTTTAGAATGTCTTAAGAGAGAGGTCGCCACCCTTGGGTCTGAGGGAGGTCTTAGGCACATATGAGACGGAGTCTGAAAACTTTTCGATATTACCAGTGTAATCCGCCTTTCAAAATACAATCAAGTTCGAAGCGCCGTCGTCCCCATCAGCGGCGGCAACGACGCTACCGCCACTTGGAAACCAGCCCTCTCGTCAACGTGCAATCCCGTCGACGGGAGCCGCGAGAAAATCCCTAGGATCGTTCACGGAAAGCATCGAGCGTTTCGTCCGCCTTCTCATTCTCTATAGACTTTGAAAAAGCTTCGGCCCTCCGCCTCTACTCATCTTCCACCCGTCCCGATTGCAACTATCAACGAACGCGGGAAACTTCGAACCTCTCAGGAACTTTCCACTTGGCGGAAGTTCGCTAGGTAGCTTGTGGGCGGCTCGAAGTGTCGAGCTCGTCACGTTCTTCGTAATCGAGATCGAGTTCCTCTTTGTGGACTGATAAATTGTTGCCGTGTTTCGCGGCAGGAGGAGCGTGTGTCTAGGGAATATCATTTTAATTATTAAACAAAATCCTCATTATAACTTTTCACTCGTGTTAGTATTAAAAATAATCACTGGAGATTACATGCTATGAACATTTTACCTGTAGCGGCTGTTAATTGTCATCTCATTCGGATACGAGGCTCATTTCCGTTCGATCTTTAAAACGCGTATTTATTACTCATTTGATCATCGATCTTCGAATTATCAAGGACTATTCAACCGCATGAAAAGGATGCTTATTGATACGATATCAAATTCGTGTATTTCTCTCTCTCTCACTCTCAGTCCCACTCCTACTCCCACTTACGACCACACTCTCACTCTGAGAAGCTGATCGACCCGACTCTCTCTCTCTCTCTCTCTCTCTCTCTCGTAGAAGCTAATTGAGAGAAAAGATTTGAACGATACAAAAAATAACAGCTGCCTTCGAGTAATCCAATGAAAAATTTCAGGACACTCAACTGGAGCATAATGTAACGGCCGGCACTTTGGTGGCGTCAAACACCCTGACTCTACGCGTCCTTACCCTGAGACACTCTGGGGAGTATTCGTGTCAGGCTGTGAACGCCGTAGGAGCCACTCGCAGTCCTTCCATCCTCATCCGCATGAAATGTGAGTATCTCATTCAGGACGGCAGCTTCAAGGGTCGTTTCAATCAGAATTTAGGTACATATTCACTTTAGAAACGCAACAGACCTCTGGCTGGCTGTCGGATGAAAGTAGACATTTTTGAGGTACCATCCCTTCGTAACGAGTACGAGGACCTTCTCCAGTATCGTAGCCGGACATTGTTTAAGATTTATTGAAACTTTTAATTCGACCTCAGATGCTCCAAGGTGTCGCGAAGGTCTTCAGTGGCAAGAGATACCAGCGATACGTCACGAGACGCTGTCGCTGCATTGCGAGGTGGAAGCTGTGCCGGGAGACACGGTCAAGTTTTCATGGACGTACAACAACACCAGGGGAGACGTCTTGCCCATGCCGAACTCCAGGGCCCGGAACCAGGGCCTGAGCAGCGTCCTGGAGTACACTCCTGCGGCCGACACGGACTTTGGGACTCTGGCCTGTTGGGCCAGCAACAGCGTGGGCCGTCAGCTTTCACCGTGCATATTCAACGTGATACCAGCAAGTGAGTCCCACCTCCGTCACATTTACAGTTTAACGCTGCTCCGCTTGGGCCTCTGGATCGTATCCTGGAATTCTTCGAGTAAGACCAGGATCCTGACCGGATGCCAATCTTCTCTGCCGAATAGCAAGGACTTTCAGGTTAGGGAGGACGTGGTTGCTCAGTTAGAATTCGCAATAACCGTAATACGTGCCGACTTTGCAGCACTGCACTCCGTTAAATCGGGCAGAACAACTGGCGCTGCTATCTAGTTCTGGCGTCGGCTACACCGCAGCTACGGTTTGGTACGGACTTAGTCAACTGTACGTTATACATATACATACATGTATACATGTAGTAGCGTGGTTCTTAAAGAGGAGCGAAGGGGCATGGGGGGAGAGGGAGGGAAGGGCTGAGCAGAGAGTAAAGAAAGCGATAGAGAGAGAGAGAGAGAGAGAGAGTTTCAACTGTAGACCTTGAACAAGTGAAATCAGACGTAAATTCTTGACTTGCTTTTCTACCCTCATTCGAATCTTTCTCTTTCTCCCATTCGCTCCCTCCCTCTCGTCCTCTTTTCCTCTTTGCTATATCTTTCTCGCTCTTTCTGCCGTCAACGATTCATTATTAAACAATAGTTAGATAGGAAGGGAGGAAGGAAGGAAGGAAGGAAGGAAGGAAGGAAGAAAGGAAGAAAGGAAGAAAGGAGTGCCTGCACTGTATATCGTGGGATGAATCGTTATTCGCCAAGAAAATGTATTCTTCTCACAGTCCGTTAAACTTAACGTTTCTTGCTTACTCGAGCCCTTACGCGACGCCACGCGAATAGCCTCCAGGCGTGTCCTTTGCCCTTAGGAATCCTCCATAATGCTTCCATTACTTCGCTGCTTCGATTTACTCGCTAATAATTAAAGGTTTTGTAGGCCTCTTCTAGCACCCTATTATTCTCTACAGCGCAGCAATTTAATTCTTGAAATTAGTCTCCGTCTTGCTTTATATTATCTTTGATAATATCATGGATTCTCATTCGCCAGTCGAGATATTGAAATTTTCAAAGTTAGCTAACAATCGACTACTCGCGCCGTTCTCGCAAACTTTCCTGCCATTCTCGATATCGTAGTGCACAAACGCGCGTGGATACTCGTTATTCATGCGGAATCGCACAGAGTCTCTCGCGACTCGGCAAATGCCGCCGTCGCCATCGTTGCTCGTAAACTTTTCAAAAGTTTAGCCTCAGATTATTCCAGGATCTTTTCTTCCAAGCTCGAAACATTAGCGCACTCATTTGGTGGCTGCGTCGACACTTCTTCCTTCGAGTGGCAACGGCATTTTGCACGCTCAGCCAGAGACAGACGCATTCGCAAAGTGGTCCAGCATCTTCCTCACGGCTGCTTCCGCTGACCGATTACACTGTTTCCATTCCGTCTTGAAGTTTGCGTCGTTCGCTCGTGTCCTTCGTGTCCTTCGCTTTTGTGTCTCGCTTCCGTCGGGCATCGGGACCTTCCTAAGTGCACGAGCGGGACTCGTCGAGGGGATTCGATCGATCGATACGGACGCAGTGCATTTGCGAGATTGGACGAGGCGGCCGATTTGATGGAATTTTAATCGCAATTGTAATCGCAATTGCCCTGGTAATTGTTACGAGCGCCTCGTGGCTCCTCGATAATTCGATCATCCCATTGGCTCTCGCGTTGTCAGCGTCAATTTTCAATGCTTCGCTCGTTCGGCCAGTTCGCTTCTCGATTACTCGTATAACGTACTTTTCTGTTTGATCGACTGCCTGACTGGCTGCGCACATTTTCCACTCGCCGTTTTGTCTTTCACGTTTTAAATAAGTTGGAAAACGCCGACGGAAACAGCCAGAATTTTGGAGCCTCGTGCGTCGTTACGCCGTGACTGTTACAGACGGCGAGCGTCGAGAGCGGATGGGTAGAAATACGAGGGAGGTATCTAAATAATCAAATAGGCAGAAACAACAGTGGAAAATACGATTTTTCATATTTTTCAAACTGTCCTCGTATCTTCTAATTTTCACTGCTTTCGGCTGAAATTTCCGAGCTTTTTATGCTTTGAAGCTAATAAATTTTTCAAAGTGCATCTTCCTCCACGTTCTCCTATATTTTTTACTTCCCAGTATCCCTCCTCCCCTCCCCCTCATCTCTCTCTCTCTCTCTCTCTCTCTCTCTCTCTCTCTCTCTCTCTCTCTCTCTCTCTCCCTCTCTCTCTCTCTCTCTCTCTCTCTCTCTCTCTCTCTCCCTCTCTCTCTCTCTCTCTCTCTCTCTCTCTCTCTCTCTCCCTCTCTCTCTCTCTCTCTCTCTCTCTCTCTCTCTCTCTCCCTCTCTCTCTCTCTCTCTCTCTCCGCGCTATCCCCGCCATCTGACGCACCCTTTACTTCTTTACTTTTACACGGCGCTTCGTGCTCATTTCCAACTTTTAACGCACTCCGCCGTATAATGCCATTGTCCAGGTATTAAAAGCCGTAACTACTTCGGGACTTAACTTTCTTCCTTCACGTCCCTTCTTCGCCCGTGATCCATATGCTCCTCTCCCTCCGTCTCATCTCTTTATCTTCCTCCTCCTCCTCCTCCTCCTCGTTCTTTCTCTCGACGTCAGACTTTCCCAGCCAAAGTACTACGTGAGCAAAGTACTACGTGAACGCAACGGAACTTCACTTGTAAATCTCCAACTGAGAATTATACGCCCGCCGAGGATTACGAGCCATTAAACATATGTAATACATAGCGGAGGGAGAACCGCGAGGGGCTGCGGGCTGCTGGGAAGGCGAGGACGCTGGAGGCGATAGCGAAAATAAAGCTGCTCCCTTCGTTCGAGCCGCAGTCGCCCAAAGAATTTCGCTTCTCGCGTCGGCCGGCCTCCTGTGTCCTCCTTGGCCGTGCACCGTGTCCGTTCAGGACTGGTGAGCATTGCGCGACAGGCGTATTCCATTACTGGGAACAGGGTACGGCCAATTCTCATTCGAGAGCCCCTATCATTCCATCAGTCAGTGAATAGTCCGTCCCCGGAATGAACCACCGCGTCCAGCAGACGCTATGGGGTGATCGCTGAAAAAAAAAAAAAACGCAAGAGTGAAGAGGGGGCCGAAAATAACAACAATTAAAACTGGAACCAGTTTGCGTTAAAAAAGTTCCGAGCAGACTGAACGCAATCACTAGAATGGAATCTACTTCGACCATTCCGTGATTTAATTTCTTTCGCTCGCCGGCTGAGTAGTTAGTGGATTCTAGTCGTTTAGTCGCTATACAATGTGCTCGGTACATGTGTGCACATACCGAGTGGCTTTCCGATTTTCTTGAGTCCTCATTGCGTTACCCATCTCGGCTGATAAGGCTCTTCTGACAGATTCGGGTGATAAGCTAACCCCCCCCCCCAAATAATGATCCATACTATAGGGATGGTTGCACGAGGACCGAGAAAGTTAGAGGGTGGAAGGCCGAGGCTGATGCTGGATGGAATTCTCGAAGGGTATTTCGTAAATGGGATAGTTTCTCAAGTGAAGGAGGGTTGAATCTGTAGTTCCAGTCGAAGTTGTGATTTGCGCGTGCAGCCACTTCATCCCTCAATTGGATCTCGAATTGTCGCTGATATTACAAAGCTTACTGGAATTATAAACGGAAATTATTTTAGAAAATTTCAAGATTATTTATTGAGCAGAAATTTCCAAGGATTTTTATTAGCCGTACATATCTATCCTCGATGGTAGTTTGTATTTTTTAACAGTTTAACGAACGTTAAAGAAAAGCTCAGGATCTTCCCGCTTTCGTTTTACCTTCTACTTTCGATTTTCGACATGATCAATTCCCCGAGGGACGCGTCTATCCCAGTGGAAAGCGACCTCATGGAAATTGGCCAACGTCGAGGCATTATCAGGAGACACGCGGAGCGACGGGGATCGCGAGGACGTCGCTCGACGCACCAAGTGCGCCGAAGCCGGCGAGAGCCGGTGGCTTCGGTGGTGGCCTGTAGCCTTATTGAGTCCCCGGGTGGCGGGAGGCTCTGGAATGCTGGATGAGGACTCCAGGAGACTCCGGGCACTGTCTATTGTAATAGCGGTGGCGCTGGCTGTGGTGGAAGCTGCATTACGAAACCGAGTCGCGGCTCCATCCGACGGCGGCACTTCAGGAGCAATCGTCAGCCCGAGACCCGGAGACAATGCTAAAAAGCGATTCGGACTGGTAATCCTAGAGTCAGGACCAATCTCCCTGGTCCATCTGGCAAGATAATGGACAGCCAAGGACCATTTCGGATGGAACGCGATCAGGTTCCCCCAACCGAGTTGCCTGTAAATGACATGGTCTATATCTTCTTCCTAACAATAAGTTCTCTCGAATCGATCACGCCTTTTATGCCGTTAGCGATGGAATCGCTCTAGAGATTCCTGTATTGTATTTTTTATCATCCTATTTATTCGAGAGTCGAACCCGCAGGGAATCGAAACACAAAAAGTCCTCACGTGACAACGCCTGCATTATACATTACAGCATCCCTCGCGACTTCCTAGGGGAAGGACTGATGATGATCTCTCGGAAGGCATACTCTCGGAAGTTGATAATTTTATTAATGGTTTTGCTAATTATTCTCCACGATTAAGGTTCTCCATTAACTGGAAAGCTTTTATGGGCTCTAGGCAGTGGTCTTACCTTGGCGCGCGTTCTCGAGGATCCCGGTTTCTTATCGATCATAGATAAGAAGAGACATGCACGTCCCCATAGAAATGACAGTTCTCCGCGTGAACTCGCTTAGCCGTAAGACGTGTCATTTCGTCTAATGCAATTTGTAATCCAGAGAGCATATCGAGTTGACGTGCTGCATATAGGGGGGGCTGGATGAGGGATGGAGGATTCAAGGGTTCAAGGGTTCAAGGGCCTTCGAGGGCCTTCGAGGGCCTTCGAGGAGCCGGCTAAAGGAGGATCGCGTATAAGGCTCGCGACATTATGCATCGGGCCGGATTAGCCGAGCCGGAAATCCCGAGGAGAATCCTCGTTCGTCATCCTAGACGAAGGAAGTATATATGTCTGCATGTATATATACATATAGTACACGTGCATGCATCCGCGTGCGACCTCCTGCCTCCCCACTCAAAACTTTCATCCTCAACAAATCTCTCTTCTCGAGTATAAACGCGATCGATCCTGCATCCACGTACAGATGTGCGTCACATACAGGAGCCAGCATCCGCCATTGCCATTGGGAATTTTGCGGCGACGCTTCCGTCCCGACGTATAATTAATGTGTCATACACGTACAAGCGAGAAACGTTTATTGCTCGCTGCGCAAAAAGCACCGTGTCAGTGCATCGAGGCATTGTGGATGTTTGCTTCTTCTTTTTCCTCAAGTTCACGCGGAATTGCCTACTTTTCTTCAGATTCGAATTTCCACGTCGCGACGTCGCCTGCTAAATTACCGCTGAACGGCAAATTGAAAGTGCTAGCGAGCACGTCGAACGAACATTGGAATCGTTTGTTCTCTGGCGACATTTTCATCGGCAATTTCTTCTTTCCCTTCGTCAGGTTAGGCTAGGCTGCGAAGGTTGAACAGTGCCGTGAGCGAGGCGATGAATAGTCGGGAGCCTCAGGCCTTTTCAATTTTTTTTTTATTTATCATCCTTCATGTCTTACTCCGGCACTGAGCCGTGGAATTCGCTGGTTTCTCTCTGTGCCCTTTTCGAAATTTTCGAATTTTAAGTCGATGAGTCCCTTAAGGGAACTTCAATCCTTTTTATTATATATCGTGATATCCAAGAAGACTGTAAGAAATTTTTGAAATTTGCGCAATTCGTACATTGCGAGACACGTGTCACGTGGTACACGTCAAATGTCTTGTTATTTGACAAAAATGATGTGAAACGTCTCCAGCATTATGTCGATACTTCAAGAAGAATAGCGTATTGCGTCCTCGTGTTGATTCTCCTGTCTTACTTTTTCCGTTGGAAAATGGAAGCAAGGATCTTCTTTGCCGAAATCTGAATACAGCAGCGAGACGAGGTAGACGCCCAACCGCATGGGCAAATGCGATAGCAGAAATACGCGAAAAACAGATTTTCCGACAATTTATGGTTCGTACGATTTAGTAGGAATGGATTTTTATTGCCGCTGAAATATTTCACGTTCCGGTTACTTACAGCGATGCTAATGTAATGTGAAACTACCATTAATGCAATATTTGCCCATGAGAAATTTTGAGAATGAAGTATACCATAGTATACGTGAAACGCGGTAAATCAGTTAACCACGGAAAACGAATGATCCGAGATTACGTATTTATTGAAAATTTCATATCCACACGCTGTTGTGTCATTCTTCAAAATTTAAAATAAACCATAAAATTTTTTCCGCAGAACGAAAGACCCTTATTGATATTCGCAAACATTTTGTGCAGTGTCAGATATTTTGTCGTTTAATGAAATATTCGAATTTTATACGAATCGTCCTACCCGAAGTCCGAAGACCATACTCTTCTTTGTAACAGTGTTGTACCACATGTAATACGTTAGACAAATTTCTATTTCAGAAGCACCCCAGTCGCCCCTCGATTGTTCGCTGCACAACGAGACGAGTGCACTGGAGGTGAACTGCATCCCTGGGTCGGACGGTGGTTTGCCGCAGCACTTCCTCTTGGAAGTTCGTGGCGGTTCTCTGGGTCAGGCGCAGACAGGTCTACTTCAGGCGCCGCAAAGCGACCAGGGTGTAATTGGCGAGGCACCGCCGATCTACCAGGAACGTAATCCGAAGCCGGTCTTCCAGCTTCACGATCTGGAGCCAGGTTACGAGTACACGGTGGCCATTTACGCGGTGAATAATCGAGGACGAAGCGATCCGGTATTATTGGAGAACATCCGCGTGGCGGCGCCACTGGGTCCCGTCGAGAGAATCAGCATAATGCTGGAAGACCTCAAGAAAGTTATACCTCAGACCAGCTCAAACAACATTATAGTCATCATGGCGCTGATAGGTAAGCAATACTAGGAGAGTAGAATGGAAGGGATGAACCTGGTGAAGTTATTTTGTAAATTTTCTCTCTTTTTTCTTAATTCTCCATAGCTTAACTGCTACTTCTGCCTCGCTGGCGCTGCAGGCCATTCTTCGTTCGGTCTGTGGCCATAGAGTAATTCCTTACGTAGAATCGGGGAAGACTTCCTGTAAATTATGCTCGTCTCGAGACTCGTACAAGGCTTCTGTTTCATTACCTTGCGCTCTTATTTTCTCTTTCTTGCTCTGTCGCTCTCTTGCTCTCTTGCTCTCTTGCTCTCTTGCTCTCTTGCTCTCTGGCGTATACTCTTTGGCAAAGCTCCTCCGGCTGAATAACAATGCTTGATTCTTGGCTCGCTGCAGTCGCGTATGCCGGGTGGCTCTTTTGCTGTAGGAAACTTTTTCGAAAAGGAAATTCCCTCAGCTGCTTCTTTGGACAAGACTGAAGAAGACGTATAAGTAAAGGAACTAGAAGTGGAAGTGGAAGTGGAAGTGGAAGTGGAAGTGGAAGTGGAAGGAAAATGTCCAATGATATCCGAGTCTTCGCAATTGAAATATAACTTCGGCTAGCTGTCTTTCATAATTTAACTATAGACCTTGCCTGCCACTGCTACTGCTACTATTACCACTCTTATTGCCAGCACGTTACGCTGTAGCGAATATTATTGAACTTCGAACTCTGCGTGTATAAAGTATTGTCCATTTGCGTCGAATGACGTGAATTTATTTATATTCATCGAAACTCGCGGTTTGGGGTTTGTGGAATAAAAAAAGTGAAAAACCGCCCAAAAGTATATATCACATAATAGTATAAATATACATACGAGTATAATACGTTTACGCGTATAAATGAGACTGAAAAGGAAGGAAATGCGTCCAACGATTAATCCGCTTTGTCATTTATATCGTGAACAAAGTTTGCCGTATTGATAATAATTTAAATTCAAGGAACAAAACCAAACTACGTGTTTTTGCCGTTGTCATTGGATATTTGGATGCTGGATTGATCGGTCGTGCACATGTGGCGGCGCATGTTTTGTGATATCAAGCATTATTAGATTTTAGATATTCCAACGAAGTATCCTTTATAATCCGTATGCGAATGTATATGGATATACTATAAATGCATATAAAATATATCTACTACAAATACTATAATATATAAATGTAAATACGAATTTTGTTTTGTTCTGATTTTCAGGTGCAGCCTCCCTTATACTGGTCGGCATCGGAGTGGTCATTGGCCTAGCCATTTGCAGGAAAAGATCTGCTGCGCCTGCACCAGAAGGTCCTGATGATTTCACCACCCCTACCTACGTTCCTGCTCAGAGAATAGAACCCCGGGTCGGATACGTCTCGGACAAGAGACGTTCTCAAAGGACGAGTCTCTACATCGAAGAAAGTCGAAATGGTAGTATTCTAGTCCCTCTTATAGAAAACAAAAAGTACATGTACTTTCGGATTACAGTTCACACCAAGTCCCTAAGTCGGCTCAACTTGGCGCAAAGCGGTTTAGAACTTTGCATCTATTCCCTTGGATATGACGTTCAAGGAAGGGTATGAATTGATAAGGCTACAATGTCTGGAGAATAGTCCTTGCACTTTCCGTGTAAATTAAAAAATTGCCAGATTTTAGATGGTAGTACGATTTTTCTGAACGCAGATACTTGGCTCTATTTGTTTGGTTGGGTTTCGGTCTGACCACTTACTTACTTATCTACTCGCTTGCTCACTGAGTGACTCGTTCCATCGCCTTTGCGGCAACTTGACCGACTTCGTGAGCTTCAATGGAAACTTGTTTGCCGGCTTGTTAACTTTCCTGAAATTCCTTCGATCTATTCTACCGTCCCAACCCTTATTCAGTCTCCCTTGTGGAGATGCTCGGCTCCGGCGCGTCCCGGCACGGCCACTTCTTTTGAAAACTCATTTATAAGACAGGAGTCCAGAACTACCCACAGGAGTGCAGGAGCGACTCCTGATCCGAAGGACCAATTGGAAGATCAAAGAAGTCTCTGAACTTGTTTCCTTCCTGTCTTTCCATTCGAGGACCTCCAAAGTTGTGTGTGTGTGTGTCTGTGTGTGTAACGGGGAGTGTCCCAGAGGATGTACGTACCGATCTGCCTGGGTCTTACATTTTTCACGATACAGAGCTAGGAAGTGAACTGACGGGTATGATTATCCGGCGAAACACAAGTGTAATTTAGTTGACACTTATTTTTAAGCATAATCTAATAAAAGCTTTTAAAAACGGATCTAAGACTGTAAGGCATAATGAAATGATCGACGTGTATTAGGAGCTTTGAGGACCCGAGAGCGGGATATGAAGAGAGTCGAGATCGAGGGTGGATTTTGAGGGTCTGAAAGTTGCGAAAGTAGCCTGACCAAAACTTGAGTTAACCCGACACAGGTAATACCCCGCGTGAAAACAGTCTCAGATAACCGGGCCGGTGCCAAACTACCTCACTGTAATTCTTAGGTAGGAACTATTTAAAACTTGTAACCGACGCTCGCGGTAAGTGGCACGTAAGTGCCGGTTGGCCGTTGGAGACGGCGCCGCTGACGACGTCGCCAGCGTGACGAGAACACGGGGAAGGTGATTAAGTTCTTGTATCCCTCGAGGAACGGGACGGGTTCTTGGTCTTGAGGGGCTTGAGGGGCTTGAGGGGCTTGAGGGGTTTGGGGGGTTGCCGAGCGGGTCGCTGGGTTAAGATGCAGCTGGTTAGAATGAAAGTACCTACTTACCTTACGTTCTCAAGGTGCGCAAAGTCCTGGTGCCTGAAGGCGCCTACCTACCTATCTCAGCATCTGTATACAAAGGTGTCGGATTTGAGACAAGCTACACTTTTTACCCCTTTACTTTCAGAGGGTAGCTCGCAACGCTACAGCTTCCTTGTCGAAGAGCTTCTTATCACAATTCTTAATATCACTTGAATTTCGAGTGGATCCTTCGTTCTATAAGATATTTTGGGGAATGAAATTTCAGTAGCTATTTCAAGGTTTTCTTTTCCAAAAGCCCATCGAATTGATTAAATAACGTCTCTTTTCTTGTTTCAGAACCGGATCTACTTCAGCAGGTCGAAATTGATCTCCAGAGTTAATTTTCAAAGCGGATAGGCGACCTCCACAGAATTGAGAAGTACCTTGTCTACGGGCATTGGATTACTCTGCTAGCTCGTTAAGCTAGGTTAGGCTACTCTCTAAGGATAATGTACGAAACGTGTAGTCGTGTTTGGGAGAAACAAGGACCTGGACCAATCGGGACGCTTGTACCTAGCAAGTGATCCTCGAGATTCGCCACGAACGGACTGGATGCTCCTTTCCTGACTTGCCTGGCTTTCCTGGATTTCCTGGCTTTCCTGACTTGGCTGAACTCGCGGCGGCTTCTCCTTCCTCGCCTACGTGCTAAGCGACCCGAAGGATGCGGATGCGAACTTCGTCCTGGATATCTGTAACCTCTAAGCTATAGTCTGCCACTCACGTTTATAATACAAGTACCTTCATCGAGAATATAACGAGATAGTGTACAGTTATTTTTGATATAGGACACTCAGACTCGACAATTAGTTTTTAATAGCTGACGACTGGCTAAATGTATTTCCAATAGTTCTTTAGGTCCATACGATATGTATGCATTTGGTACAACAACAGCGGATCTTTTCGATTTGCAATCATAGATCTATATTATACAACGTGTAAAATATTACTGTAGTTTTTTTAGCCACGGAGCAATAGTATTTTCATTAACGAGAATTAATGAAGTCGAAATAAATTGCGATTTGTACCTCATTTCAATGTTTTATCGTGATTAATTTTCATCGACTTTATAAGCATTACATTATTAAAACTCTCATCTCAGAAATAAATGAATATACAATAATACGCCTCCTCTTAGTGTGATAAGGTTTTACCGAGTTGATAATGAGGAAGAAGCGCCGATGACAATAATGAGTAAACAGGTGATTCTAAAGTTACATCTATCGAGTGACAGCTTCAGGCAGAAAGTGAGATCAATAGAGGGGTACCAGGTTCCAGATACCCCGAAATGACGTAACATTGAACGAAAGTAGATCGGTAACACTGACGAGGGACTAAGGGGCGTGGGTGAGATCTGAAGACGCAAACGAGCCAAAACTAGAAACTCTAGAAGAATCGGCATCTTCCATTCACTCGTGTGCCTATTTAGTACGTACAGACGTAAGTGCGTTGGTATTCCAGGCGTATCGCTTCATTCGTTATATTCGATTCTACATACAGTGTGTTATTTTTCAATAAGTTGGTGGATTTTGTTAGAAAGGAGAACACCCCGTGAAACGTGGTCCTTTGATTAAAGTGAATTGGCATAGAACACAGCAGGGGCAGGAGACAGAAAAAGAGAAGGAAAATATAAGAGGTGGAAGGTAGAAAGTACAAAGTAGAAGGTAGACACTGTGCTATCTACCTTCATGATGTGAACGACACACTTGGAATATATTGTTTTACCGCATTGTTTACGCCGCGTTGAACCCCAGGTGAATTTTTGAAGGGACGGCTCTGAGGGTAAAGCATTACCTATGTCTCGGAATACCTGAGACACTTGAGGGGAAGATAATGTTTGTAGGTACAGTCAAGATAGCGTAGGTTGGCAGTCGGTAGTTGCTTGATAGTCAGAATTGCCAAAGTAAGGAAGACAATAGCTATTCCATTTGACTAGGGAATTAGCCAGAAGAGAGGAGAATTCGCTACAGCGTGAAGTTCAACTGTTTTAGTTAAGCTGCGGATGAGAATCACTACTGACAACGGAGGTTCGTGGGTACGTAGCTAGGTTTGTAGGTTGTAGGTTGTAGGTTGGTAGGTTGGTAGGTTCTCTACGTACGAAGGGTGGAAAGTTGAAAGGAGGCGATCGAGTTGGCGAGTTTAATAATCTCGCTGTTTTCCCAAAGGAAACGGTAATAAAGAGCTCGGCAGGATGAGATAGGAAACGATAGTGTAAAAATAGAGGACAGCTAGAGAAGGTGGAACGAAGCGAGAGGAAGAGGCTGAAGAAGGGAAGAAAGAGACGGAGAATGGAAGGAGGGAAGCAAGGAAACTCAGGTTCACTTTTCAACGGGGTAACGAGCTACGGTGTAGAATTAATTTAAAAAATATTAGCGCTTAATGTCGATGCAGCTTCTACGTTAGAAGCGCGCGATCTGGTTGCACGGTTATTTTCAAGCCTCGAGACGTTGACTATTGAAAAAAGTTGAAAGCTACAAAAAATTAAGTTGATTATAGCACATGATCTTTAAACGAACACAAATTACAGGTAACGCACTTATCTAAGGTAAGACGGGTATCTTGAATTGAGGAAATTCGTAATCTTATCTCGTGGCTTTACCTAAATCAAATAATAATAGAGAGCGAGTTTATGGGCAGCGACAAAGAATGAAATTTTATAGACTTTTTTTCCAAAAAACTCGGCGAAGAATATCAATATGAGACTGATATCGAAATCTGTTTTATGCGTATTATATATAGATCTAACCTAATCTATAGGGATGCTGCCTGATCCTCTACGCGATTACAGTGTTATGCATAAATATATATATGTATGTCCGCATATCTAGATACGTACGAATATATCACGTAGATAGATAAAAGTATAGGAGGATGATGTCTATCTACAAGAACCCCCGTGTCGACGGCAACCCTCTTTTCAAGGGAGCTTCCGAGCGTACGCGAAAGGATCTCGCGCAGGATGAATCAGGATCACGTAGCCGCGGGTGGGGCTGTC